AACACCTTATGTACCAGGGCTTAATATGTTCATGTTTTGCCTGTAGTGTTATTAAAAATAATAATAATGATAATACTAATAATAGTTGGAACTTTAGTGATCCCACGATAGGGAAACTCTGTCCGCCGCAGGCGCCAAGTATGTTGTTTCTCTGCTTCTGAGGCAGACGTGCTAACCGCTAAATTATGGAACCGCTGCTAATTATTAAAAAATCTGGCAGAAACGAAATCCAATCAGCAATGATTTGGTCATGTGACCTGGAAGAGCAAATCAGAATTTAGCCAGCAGCCTGAGACGGTGTAACGTGTTGAGGGTGTAAATCCCTGTGTGTTTCCTCAGCCTGGCGAGAAAGGTTCACCTGAGGGTGAGAGGGAGACGGAGAGAGAGAGGAGCCACGTGTCGTTCGCCCGACACCTTCACACACATCATCACACGCACCTGGGCATGAGCTACAACCTGATGTCAGGGCAGTACGAAATCTACCAAGGTGCGACGACACACCTTTACCTCCCTCCAGGGGGTGCAATTAACACCAAGTGTCTTTAGATTACGTTTGCTTGAACGTTATTGACCCCATATGTGGAAGTTGACGTAAGAAAAAAAAAACTTTAGGCCCCAGCGAGATTTGAACTCGCGACCCCTGGTTTACAAGACCAGTGCTCTAACCCCTGAGCTATGGAGCCTTGTGGACTAAGGCAGGCGGTTGGTTATTTACCTAGTGTTAGTCAGCTGTTAGCTTAACGACTACGTCAACGTAACGTCAACACATCTTTGAAAAGGTTTTAGCTACAAACAGGAAGTATAAATCTAACATCCTGTCTCCTCTGTGTTGAAGGTTTGAGCTCCAGGACCATGGTCTCCAGTCAGCAGGTGTCAGGACACTCGTCCACAGGTGGGTTTGGAACGTTAGGATTTATACTGTTCTATTATTCATCAAAAAAAAAGTCTACGCCATCTACTGGGAAAATGTGAGTATTGCAGGCAGAAAAGGCAGAATTATAATGATAACATAAATATATTATATAATTTGGTAAAATTTTGGCGGGCTGGATTAAAAAACTGAATGGGCCGCATCCGGCCCCCCGGGCCTTAGTTTGCCCCATGCCTGGGCTACACACACACAGAGCTGTGTCTCTCAGGTGACACTAACCAAGAACTAACTAACAATGCGACTCACTCCACACCCCTCCTCCCTCCCTTCTCTACAAAGTGCATGTCACAGGTGTGAGCCACACCTTGAGCCACGTGTTCGCAGCACCCTGCCATCAGGTCAGGGTGTGGACACCGTAATATTTGTTTTGCTCCGACGACTCTCTTTTCAACCGTTCCGACTGTCAGGTCTATACACAAGGCTCCATAGCTCAGGGGTTAGAGCACTGGTCTTGTAAACCAGGGGTCGCGAGTTCAAATCTCGCTGGGGCCTGAACATCTTTTGGTCCGCCGGTCCTGTCCCAGAGACCTACCAGTGGTTCGCAGTCCAGCATTTTACCTATTGGTGACGTGCACTGCGATTACCAAACTGGTGATAATTGTGACTTGCGATCACAAGTTCAGCTAGCTTAAAATGTACTTAAAAAACAAACGGTAATTCACCTGGAGCTACTCACACACCACCACTGAGAACCCTGGTTACCGATTGCTAATGATGATGTCACTGTCACTCCTGAGCCCATTTTATGATGAACGCTAAGTATGCTAAGTATTTAGCGTCCACTCTGACCACCACCGTCTCCTGCTCTGCCTGTGTTTGGACGCATTTCCAAACAGGAACATTATTATCTGAGAAACAGATGTTGGCCTGGAAATGGACAGTGAGCTCAGCAATGCCCCCTTCTGGATGTAGTGCTTAACGATCATACCAGAAAACCAGACTTTTCAAATGGAGATTACTAGTAAATTGTTTACTGTTAAAGTACCATGTGTTCATATATCCATCCTCAACCTCCTGTGTTTCGTTTTTTTTCGTCTTGTTTTCACAGAGGGCGAAACAAAGAAGTAAAACCATGTGACCACGTCTCACATGAGGAACGATGATTTAATCAGACATCAATTCCGTGGTGTTGAATAAGCTTCGCCTCGCTGAGAGGCAGGGACAAGAACAAAGACAAAAAACAAAAAAAACAAATGCTTTTGTTTTGGTAAAAAAAAAAAAGACGTTTGCTTGTTTTGTAATGCATCACCCAGAGAGGACGGGACAGGTGCGAGGACGGCAGGATCAGGACGTTTTGACAGGTGACATGGATAAAAACAAACAGCCGAGAGCAGATGTGCGATCATCCTTTTGAAAACAAACAAACAAAAAAAAAACAACGCACATTAAGGCGGAGTATTCCCATGAAGATGTGACTGAATGTAACGACGATCGCTTATTTGAGCCTGATGGTGTGGGTCATTTCTAAAACCTCTGGGGGGGGGGGGTAAACAGCATAAGGAAGCTACAGAGCCTATTACTATCCTTATTACTCTCCTGATTATAACAGCGCTCCTCCCTCCATAGATCCGACTCTACATTTGTATTACTAACCTGTACTTGAACGTAACCATGCTAACTGTATCGTCTTTATGTGAGAGTGTAACTTTTACATCTACCTGCTGGTGCCATGTAGGAGCCCCCTCTGGTGTATATATTCTGTACAGATTTGTGGCCCGAGCGCTAACTTGCTTTCTATTTCTCGATATGACCTCCATCAGCCATGCAGAGGAGCAGCGGGCGGAGAAGGAGAAACAAGCCAGAGCACAACACCTCCCCATCTCCATGTTGTTGTTTTTTTTCGTTTTTCTTGGTCAAGACACACAAAAATTGTGTGCTAAAATGTCCCAAAAATGTAATGAAATTTAACAAATTATTAACCTGGGCCTGTTTACTTGAACAACACTAGGAATTGAAGAAAGACACACAGGTCTCTCTTTTTTTTATAGCCATCTGCTTCTACCTAGCGGTAGAAAATTGAATCGTTCTACCAGTCACTGTCACATCGACGAGGAAGACAATAATTTGTCTTTAAAACGCTTTATTTTTATTTTATTCGTCGTGTGCTTATCGTAATATTTACTACATTCTAGAATTTTACTTTTGTAGCATTCTTTTAAGAAGAAGAAATACGCATTCAGGACCGACATGTTTTTTTTAAATTATTGTTTGCTGTGAGCTTTTTCGTTTGTTATCCCATGATCCTTTGCCTCGCCTCTGCTCCAACGCCTTCTACAAGCTAACTAGCTCGGTGCAGAGCCTCTGAAAGACTGAACTGTCAGTGATTTTTCCGTTTTGACAATTGGTGTTGATAGTATTCGGGTTGTACGTTGTGAATATCAGTCTAGTTTCTCTGGGGTTAACGAGATAATAAATTGATATTTACTAATTTGAAAACAAAAACAAAAAAAATGCCTGTGGTGTTAAACTGATGGTTCAGCAAATTGACAATGAACGTGGTACATGGAGTATACAAGGTAATATTTCAGACCCGATTGTTCCAAATACTGTTTTAAATTGTTAAAAATTCATGTGGGTGAAATTATGTTTTTGCCAGAAAAAAAAAACATCTTACAACCCAGAACTCTTCCTAAAAAAAACTTTTTTTGTTGTTATTTTGATCGCAAACTTTTTAAATTAAGTTGACGCCTTTTGGCATAGACCTTTTTTTATTTCCCTAATTTTAAAAACTTCAACACATCCCACTGTCTGACTGGTGCTACAACGTTTCCGTTTAAAACTCCGCATTCCTATTAAAAATGACTACAAATACAAAGCCATCTAGATCTACTGCTGATTGTTCGCTCTGTGAAAAATAAACAAACCTCATTGTAGGTTCATGTTTTGTTTTTTTCCCCCCATTTTTAACTCTCAGATCTGGCCATCGCCGACCTCAAAACCTAGTGTTGGTGCTGCATTTCGAAATCAAATTAAATCAATCAATTAAAAAAACTTCATCACTAGCACAAAAAAAAAAAAAAAAAAGTAAATGCAGCACAAGAACAGAATTGTTTTTTTAATTTCGCTGAACCCCGGTCTGTCAGCAGCTCTGCGCCACTCACACAACATCTTACCTGCATAGTGTCAGTGATCATTCTATTACTTGAATATAGTGCTATGAACTCTGTTTACAAAAACACTGTCATCCTTTGTGACAACAACGGTGTCGTCTTACGAAAGACTGCTTTTGAACATTGAACTCATCCACCCCGGTGTCCTGATTTAATGTCACACTGACATCCTATAAATATGAAACCTGCTGTCGCTTTTTTATACTGTACATGCCTTAATTCATATGTTTGGCAATCATGATTAAAGGATGTTTATATATATAAATATATATATCCATGTTCCTTTTATCTGGGCTGTTTTTTGTTTGTTTGTTTTTTCCTGAACACATTTTCTAGGAATCAACTATTGTTGTCTGGGCGGGGGCTAGATTGGTGCAGTGGTAGTACCCTCACCGGCCACTAGAAGGCTGCAAATGTATTATTACCAAGTCGCCCAAATCCCTTAAAAGTTTGAGAACCTCATTAGTTTTATTGCACTGACGCAATACACTGAAATTGGCCAGGGATTAAAAAGAAATATACGAAAACGTTATATATTTATACCATTACGAAGAAAAATGTTCATTTCCTGTATAGTTGTAGTAGGTGAGCTAATTTTGTTAGAGTAAAGCTATATAAAAGTTTGGACTCTCAGTTGCCTACCCCTCAGCCCCGTCAGCCATTTTGTGATTAATCTTTTTAATATATCGTGCCTACTCTTTAAACCAACGTTGTTTTGCTAACCATATAGCGTCGTTCGAACATAAATGTAATACCACAATATTCTATAACATTAATAGTCTTTTTACGTATGTTTTTCATTAAAGTAATTACTTATTATGAAGGATGCGTACGGATGGATGGGCGCCTGAAGCAGCATTAAGTGGAGGTCAAGGTAAATGTTGTTCCTGTTGTAGTTTTACCCCCTGACAGTAGAGGTCGCTGCCCCCGCCACTGTCAACGTCCTCACTTCCGTTTTTAAAACAAAATGGGTGGCGCCAAACCGTGACAACAAAGCGGCAGTTGGTTTCTACGAACACCGACCAACTCGCGTTCGGATTTGTTTTGGAGTTCTTTTTCTTTTGCAATTCAGAAGCTTTAAACAAGACCGAGGGATGAGTTTGTTGTGAATAAACATGGCTGCAAAGTCGGACCAGCTACTGATAGTTGTTTCCATCTTGGAAGGTAAGAAAAAGCGGAGCGACCGGAGCAGTTTAGCTTAAACTGTTTTAAGTATTCAAAACATTTTTTTTGTCTCATTTTAGACTTAGTTTACGTACATGAGTCCTGTCGGCGACGAGGAACGACTAAGAAACTAATTCAATCAAACATAAAATCGTTTGTATGTCATTTGATGAACAGCCCGGGCACTTCACTACTTACAGTTTTCTTGTTGATAATTTAATAATTTATAATATATATATATATATACATATATATATACATATATATTAATAATTTTCTAATGACTTGTTGTACAAACTAATCTGTTTTTATTATTATTTAGTTTGAGACCTGATAGGAGTTGTTTTGTGTTTGTTTAGTTGCGTACGTAAATTCATTTCTTGAAGGAGACATTTCTAAGGTTATGACTATCGTTTTAATGTGTGTTTCCTTAATTTCTCCGGATTAACAAATCTCTTAACTATCTAGCTATCCCTAGCTAGCTAGCTAGCTATCCATCTTTTTGTCGATATTTAAGATGTCTGTCTTCCTCCAGGTCGTCATTTTCCTCCTCATCCTCGCCTCAGTCTAGTGGTGCAGGCCAGCTTCGATGGCGAGCAGCTCTCCACTGACCCGGTGGACCACAGGGAGCAGCCGTTGTTCAGCACCGAGCTGGCATGGGAACTGGACCGCAGGACGCTGCATCAACACAGGTCTACATTTTCCCCCTGACATCTAATGCTAACCTGTGGAAATGAAACTTAAAAAAAACAAACAAAAAAACAAAACAATGGCATTGTCTCCTCAGACTTCAAAGGACTCCTATCAAGCTCATGTGTTTTGCTGTCAACACTGTCAGCATGAAGAGAGAGAGCGTCGGCTACATCGTCCTGGACCTGCGGTCAGTGCAAGAGGGCAAACAGGTACATGTTTAATGCACTAGTAGTAGTGATGTGTCGTTCGCGAGTGATTCGTTCAAAATGAACGAATCTTTCACATGACTCGTGACTACTGACTCCCAAGTCATATGAAAGATTTGTTCATATTGAACTCACGAATCACTCACTGCGAACTAATCTTTCGCTGTGAACGAAGTTCAAGATTCGTTCACGACTCGTTCATTTTACTGTTCGAGAGTCAAAGATTCGGATCAATAAAAATAGTTGGTCTTCCCATCACTAACATTAGCACTAGTGATTAGCATCTTAAAATAGAATTACATCTATAGTTTTAATTATTAAAAAACAAAAAAATGTTGCGCTGGTAGCATTTATTAAATGTAATGGCTCTTGTTCCACCAGAACTCCTTCTGAAATCTACCGGTAGATCCTGATCTACTTATGAAATATGTTTTCTGTGTTTCCACACCAGGAGCCTCGTTGGTTCCCGCTGCTGAGCAGCAAATACACTAAACAGAAGCCCGCACTTCTTGTTGGAGTCTCACTGGAGAACGACAGCAAAGCCACGGAGCCCTCTCCCGACAGATTCAAGGCCAGGAAGGCTCCACCTCGACAAGGTCGGCTTCTCCTCCAGCGGTGGTTTCTATGTTTTTCTTGTTGTTGTTTTTTTTTTTCACTTTTATTGTACTTTACTTTTAAGGTCAAAACAAGTCATCAAATATCAGGTGATCACTTCCACAGTCGTACTTGTTGAATCTCTTCTCACTACAACTTCCTTCCAGGTTCTCCTGCTGTAACGGATCTACTTCCAGAAACTTTGGAGGCCGTACTGATCCCAGACCAGGGTTACCACCAGGTTGGACCTTCTGATCTCTGCAGTGACATGTTCATCTTGTCCGTCACCATTGCCTTTGCCTCCAAACTTGAACAGGTCTGATATTTATATATATATTTTTTTTTAATTATTACACAATTGCCAACCATCATTGTTTTAGAAATTTAAAAAAAAAAGGTTTTGAAATAATGTAATTTTTACAAAGTCTGGTTAATTTGTAATTTCAGTTCAAAAGTGTTATATTATATATTTGATATTTCCATGAGGCATTTCAGTGATAGCTAACAGCTAACAGTCAGGTCACACTGGTTTTCCCCATTCCTCACAGTTGATGCCCAGCACCACGAAGCTGTCCGCTGAAGGTTCGGATTTCTTCTTCTACTACTCGTTGCTGGGCAACGACATCACCAGCGAGCCTTTTCACAACCTGCTAAGTCCTGACTTTGAGCCGGAGCGCGCCTCCGTCCGCATCCGCAGCAGCAAACAGATCCTGCTGTCCTTCCTCTCTCACCAGCCCAGTTTACAGGTCAGGGCTCAGACGTCTAATGTGGCGTGATGTGTTACACCGCGTCGTTGTCTCCATCGTGTCATCACGTCAAAGGTCCTGCCGTGTCTGTCCCCCCCTCAGATCCACCTGTGCTGTGGGAACCACTCTCTGGGCAGCACTGACGTCTCTCTGTCGGCGCTCTCTGCTCTTCCTGTCCATCTGGAAAACAAGGCAGCGACGGTCGAGGGGGTGTTTGTGCTCAGACCTCCGACGCTAACCAAACGATGTTTACCGCTTCTGCCTGCCGACCTGCAGCCCACCATCAGCGTGGCGGTTGCGCTTAGAAGAGAGGGGGTCCCAGCACAGGTGAAGTACTGTTCACGACTATAGAACTTTAAATCCAGATTAAACTGATTTTTGTTTCCTGCGGCTAATAAACTGGACGAAACAAAAATAAAAGTGATGCATTGCGGGTTGTTTGTTGGGATATGTACAGCATTGTGTTCATGGCGATGGTGCTGATTGTATTTCTACAATGACCACATACTGGGCCACTATGATGTTTTGTCTGCACTGCACGTGGCCCCCGAGACACGATTTGAAAAGTCACTATTAATATATCAGTGATTTAAGATCTCATGTCAATCTTTCTTTTCAGATCTTGGGGAATAAAGATGTAGGCGGAGTCCAGGCAGAGTCCGTCCCTCCTCCTCCTACTACTGCCCCCTGTGGTCAGCAGGGCATCTCTCCAGTCCACAAACCTCCTGACTCCTCTACTCCAGTTCCTTATCCTCCCACTTACCCCCACACAGAGAGTGAGGCAGAGAGTTTACTGGAAGAACTTCATCGCTCTAAAGAACCAGGTGAATTTGACACGACGGGAAGTTTCAGGTCGGGAGTTTGGACGTCCACGGGACAACCGTTGACCCTGTCTGTGTCCATGTAACCAGCAGCAGATGCGGAGGCAGGAGATGAGGGTGGAGTGTCGTCGGTGAGTGTATCCGCTCCCAAAGTTTCCATTCCGCCATCGGCCCATCACTTCAGCTTCTCTCTGGACCTGCGGAGCCTGGGAGGCCTCGGCCTGACGCACGCCATCGCTGCTACACTCAGGTGAGAGACTTCACCTCACGTATGTCCACAAACATCCACCTGCTGCAAAATGGCCGCACGGAGGTAACAAAATGATAGAACAAAACTGTTTTTTACTTTAACAACTTGTTTTATTTGTAATGTTTCAAATAAATTTGCTAAACAGCTGGAGTGACATGATGTACTGCTCCAAACGTATACGTACATACATATACATACAGTATATACACGTATATATGTATATTCGTACATACAGTATATATAAATATATACCACATATATAGAAAAATATGTACTGTGTATAAATATATAATTCAAATAAAATAGCTAAACGACTGGAGTGACATGATGTACTGCTCCAAATGTATATACATACATATACATATATACACACATATATGTATATACGTACATACAGTATATATAAATATATACCACATATATAGAAAAATATATGTACTGTACTAGTAATTATTTTATAATTCTGAAATACATCTGTTTTCTTTAAACAAATTTTTTTTTATTAATAAATGTTGCAACAAATAGTCTTTTTCTAGTCTATGTTGTGCGGGCCACATGTTGAAGGTTTGCGGCTCGGAAGTAGCCCACGAACCACGGCTTTGAGAGGCCTGCTTTAAATAATACAACTCGAACAACAATTTTTTTCTGCAACAAGGGCTTTAACTAACAGGTACCGTATACTCACACGTTGAAGTAACGATACTCTGTATTTGTGTGTATTTTTTTTCAGGTATTCATATTCGTTCTTCGGCAGCGCTGCCCCCATCATGACCAACCCTCCGGTGGAGCTGCACAGGAACATGGAGGTGTCACTCCCTCAGTCCTACTGTGCCTTTGACTTTGCCACGTTACCGCAGCAACTGCACGACACCTTCCACAGGTAGGAACACACACCGACACATTTGCACCACCTAGTCACAGAGGGAGGGAAGCGCACGTTTGTTTGTCATCGGTGACATCCCAAAATAAAATAAAATCTTTGGTTAGTCAATGGTAAAAGAAGTTTTGTAAAGCAGTTCCCTCTTTGGGCACTAGGTGGAGCTGTAGGACCGTGTTCAGTGCAGTGTGTGAGAGCCGTGTGTTTGTGTAGAGTTCCCCTGGTGGTGGAGTTGTGGCACAGAGACTCTAACAGCAGGGACCAGCTGATTGGACGAGCTTCTGTGCAGCTGTCTCACCTGCTGAGCTCCGAGAAGAAACGAGTTCTGACGTCATCGGGAGAACAGAGCTGGAGACAAACGCACCAGGACAGAATACCTGTGTTCAGACCACAGCGGTAGGAGTTTGTTCTGAGTAACTGTCACCAAGGACAACGGTGGTATCTGTCTGTCTGTCTTTCTTTACCTGACGTGTCTCTGTCCTTCAGTCCGCCTCAGAAGGTCGCAGAGGTCACCTATGTGGCCACATTAGAAGACCTGGGTCTGATCAAAGCCAAAGAGGTTATTGTGACTGACTCTTCACAGGTGACTTATATGAATGATATATTTATACTAGTACATATATATTTCTATACGTACGTGTGTGTGTGTATATATGGCTATATATGTGTGTAAATATATATTTATATATGTATGTATATCTTTGTATTAATTTATGTATGTATATGTGTGTATATATGTATTTATATATGTATATGTGTATATATATATTTATATATGTGTATATTTATATATTTATATGTGTATATATATTGGTATATCTGTATATATATATATATTTATATGTACAGTATATGTGTATTTATATATGTACTGTATATGCTGTTTTTCTCTTGGGTCACATCATCAATGTCACTGCTATGCTGACGATGTTTTTTTCCTTTCTCTTAGATTGAATCTGTGGCCCCCGCACAACTGCCCTCTCACCCACTGTCACCCAAAGCCCCTGCCCTTTGCCACCCAGCTCCACTGCTGGGCCCCACAGCCCCCAGAGAGACCATGGAGTATCGAGCAGCCTTGGAGCTGGAGCTGTGGAAGGAGGAGCAGGTGGACCTGTTTGACGATCAGGTACAAACCATGGACACAGGACACTTTGACTGGAACTGTCGGCCCTCTGCTGGAGGAGGCGGTCTCTGCACCATAATGTTCACTGGGATTTATGATGCGTTATGATGATGACACGTGTTTTTATAGTTAAAGAAGAAGGAGCTGAGTCACATGCAGGCGTTGGCCGAGGAGTGGAAGAAGAGAGACAGAGAGAGAGAGGCTGTGGTCAGGAAGAAGGTGAATATCTGTCTGTCTGTCTATATATATTTATGTGTCTATACACATATACATATATACACAAATATATATAAATATATTTATATAAATATATTTATATATATTTGTGTATATATGTATATACATTTGTGTATATATATTTGTGTATATATGTATATACATTTGTGTATATATATTTGTGTATATATGTATATGTATATATGTATATGTATATATTTATATAAATATATACATATACATATACACAAATATATACATATAGATGTATATATACATATATATCTATGTATGTATGTTTATATTTTTATATATATTGCATTTTCTCAGTAGAAAGTAGACATTACTTATGTGGAATGATACATTTAAAACATTTTAATACAACAACAGTTGTATTAAAAACCAATGTATTATTATTATTATTATTACTGTTGTTCCTAATATCACCATTAATAATCATAATAATTGAAATTTGATTTATATAATGATTCAACTTCACGTTCCGACGTCACACAGTCTACTCGTCCGGCCTTAAACACACAGCTCCGACTGACCGACCGCCCGTCTCTCCCTCTGCAGGAGGTGGAGTTCAATCTGCTGGAGGAGCAACTTCAGAAGACTCTGTCGGATTTGGAGAAAAGGGAGAAACAGCTGGCGGAGGCTGAGCTCCAGGTCTGACCCTATGACCTAAAGAGTGGAGTGAGGGGGGGTTAATACTGACATGTAAAAAAAATAGATAGTAACAATGTACCAGCGGTGCTGCTAAAAGCACTCCCCCCCTATTAGCAGCTTTGACTCCCACCACAAATATGTGAGCGGCTCCTGTCCTTTAAATCTGAGGTCAGATCCCTCACTGTGATTGGTTCAGTCAGAACCCCAGGTACTCAACCCACAGCTGGTCCGTCTCTGTGTTTCATGGATGGGTTAGAAACAGAGAGTAATTCCCCCTCAGAGGACAGTGGTAAAGTACTAAAACACGTTAAAAAAAAAATCAAATTTCATCTGATGTTATTGGAAGCCGTGCTCCAATGAGAATCAGCCTTTACATTCACACCAAGCTGTCAGTAACAACACAGTCGTCAGTGCTGACTGTGGGTCAGTGCAACAATAAAACCACAGCCACAAAAAAAAAACCTCTGCAGAGAAATATATATATATACAGTGATTCACCAGAATGAAGTATTTATGTTGTCTGTGAGTACTTCTGAGTACTTCACTGTGGGGGTTTTTTTTGCGTCTGTGTGTCCAGACTCAGAGGTTACAGAAGGACCTGAGAGCGGAACACGAGCTTTCGCTGAGGGAGTTGAAGGAGAGCGGCAGGAGGCTGCAGCAGGAGTGTGACCAGCGGGTGGCGCTGGAGAGAGAAAAGGTTCGACTGATGGAGGAGGAGAGGAGCCGACTGCTGCAGCAGGTACGAAGCCCACCTTAACTCTCCCCCCCCCGGGGGCGGCGGAGGATCATGAATGGTGACTTTTAAAAAAACGTTGTCAAACATTTTGACGACGTGATTGGTTTGTCGTGGCGCAGATTTCAGACGGAGAGTTGCGGTACAAACAGCTGGAGAAGGAGTTCCAGGTCTACAGGGAACAGCAGAACATCAGGCCGGAGTTCAGACTGCAGTCAGAGGTCAACCTGCTGACCCTGGAGAAGGTGAACCACGGATGTTGAGTGGTACTGCTGAGTACTACAAGTATTTTCCAGACTATAAGTCGCTCTTTTGTTTTATCCTTTGTCTGGATTTGCGACCTATATATTAAAATATATAATTTGACATTTCTGATTTTCCCATTAATAGCCGCTAGAGGGCACTCTAGGCTCGTGTACCAGTATCTGCTACTCCTGTACCACTGAAAATTCACACGTTTGTTATTTTCCCACTGACGGCCGCTAGAGGGCACTCTAGGCTCGTGTACCAGTATCTGCTACTCCTGTACCACTGAAAATTCACACGTTTGTTATTTTCCCACTGACGGCCGCTAGAGGGCACTCTAGGCTGGCTAGTGCGACTTATACTCCGGAGCGACTTATAGTCCGGAAAATACGGTATATTTGATTAAACTGATAACAAATCGGCCTCTGAGAGTATAAAAACCTGTTATCCGATAACTATAAGTAAAAATGTTGTCGTGTTTGTTAAGGTGGAACTGGAGAGGAAGCTGGAGTCCACCTCCAAGTCCAAGCTCCACTACAAGCAGCAGTGGGGACGAGCCCTGAAAGAACTGGCCCGCTTTAAACAGGTACGACTCTTATACATGAGTACATGTATACATGTGTACGGTACATACCTTATTAGGAGTGTGTATTAGCTAGAATCTCGTGATACGATATGTATCACGACACAAGGGCAGCTATATATATTGCGATATATTGCAATACTATAGACATGGCGATATATTGAGGTTTTTTTAAACCAAATTTTTTTGTGATATTTAAATGGCCATCGCACTGATTTGTGAAATCGTAAAAAACTTTCCGCATCATGTTGACACGAACCATCGGGAAAATTAACAAAAAAAAACCCAGATTGATGAACATCGTACAGTGGAGCAGAGCAGTTTCTTTTTGTCAGCGCAGGTTTTTAATCTCGTGCTGGAGATGAGCTGACAGTGACAGAACGTTTTAACAGCTCTGTTTAAAGGCAGAGTGAACTCTGCTGCCCCCTGTCAGCCCGCGATCCCGCATCGACGATAAAACATAGGAAGGAAAAACCTGTGAGAGTGACGTTTGTTATGACGAGACGGGATGTAGTGAACGAGAGGCCACACCTGAACACGGTGGTGTACGTTACTTATTACACACACACACACACGCACACACACTGACGGCTGTTATCACAGGGAGCCGCTGTGTGTGTGTGTGTGTGTGTGTGTGTGTGTGTTGATGGCTGACATGTGTTTTTGTTAAAGTGTAAAAACACTTCTCTGTCTCATTCTTACACACACATACACACAAACAAGACTAAGTGGGACTAATGTAAACACACACACACAGGGACTTCATTTGACACATGAATAACTGTTACTGACACCGACCAGCTGGTTACATCCTTTTTTTTTTTTTTTCTTCGTCCTCTTCCTTGTCCTCGTCCGTCTCCGCCGACGTCTCCTCTTTGTCGGTTCTTTCAGGCCTCAACAGTGAAATTGTACAGAGTACCCAAAGATTAAAGTTTACTTCAGACCTACCAAATACTTCACACCTAGGGTCTAGGTCATAGGTGTCAAACTCAAGGCCCGGGGGCCAAATGCGGCCCGCCAAGTCCTTTTGTGTGGCCCGCGGGAGCTCAAATAGCATTTAGTAAAGTCCATGCAGCAGAGTTTCTTAACCTGAGAACTCTTTTAGACTCTATTCCGTTTGTGTCTGAATGACTGACATATTATTTTAAAATATTGTCAGATTATCTTTAAATAAAGAAAGTAAATTGATTAGACAGGATTTTAGTTTGAATGAAGTAAATTAGTAAAAAATTAAACAAATTTTTTCAGTGTGTCCCACTGTTGCCCAGTACCAAATGACCTGGGGTTGGGGACCACTGAACTATGCAATCTTCCAGTTACAACTGGCCCTTCAAGGGGAACTGTTTTGCCGATGTGGCCCCCCGTGAAAATGAGTTTGACACCTCTGGTCTAGGTTTTCATTATCCTCCCAAAAAAGCTTGGTTACGCTAACTGTAGTCAACCCTCTGCCTCGCTTCTCACTTGGAGCTGTGCGTCTTTTGAGCTGCAACACTGCCCCCTAGTGTGGTTTCATTAAAGTTTAATCTTCATAATCACGTTACTTGGTGATTCAAGGATAAAAGTGGTCGTCTTTACTCAGTAACTCGTTCTTTCAGCTATTTTTTTTTTGTCCCTTATCTCCTCTTTTCTTTCGGGCTTTTGAGCTGCTCCCTCCGCCGCCCCCCAGTCTCGCCCCGTCTCCTCCCCCCGTCTCCTCTCTAAGTGCCACATCACTGTTAAGAAAACACAGTGTGATTTATGCAGCTCTAAGGGGGTTTGGAACAAAGTGTCACCACTTGTCTATTAATCATCCCCGGGACTGCATTAAGCAATAAGCCATTTAGCGCTAACCGTTCAGACGTCACACACTCTCGCTTTTATAAAATATCAGTTTTGTGTTTACACAACCATCCGTCTTTTTCCGTTGCGGCGTTTTTTTTTAAAGCCGGCGCTTGTTTAGCTTTCCCGGGCCTCTCTGCGCCTATTTATTCTCTCCTCTCAGCGCTTCGCATGGCGGACTGTTTACCTCATGTTGGATCATAAAAATTCTTGTCGGAGGAATGATGTGCTTTTCAACCCCAAACGGCACGCAGGGAGGCAGAGTGAGAATTAATATCCCCAGGCAGCGGCGCAGTATTAGATCAGAGTCTCGGGCCGCTGTGTTCCCGAGTTCAAATATTTGGACAAGGAGCTCGGGTCTTTCTTTTTTTTTTCCCCTTTCAAAGCAAAAATATTGAGACAAAGACATTAAACTTGCCGCAAGTGCTGAAATCTGGTTGACCGCCCTTCGGTGACGTAGTCGGAAAGACCTATGTACGATATCCAAAAAGCTCAGGTTGTTAGCGTTAGCTCTGATGTCTGTATCAGGACTGTCGTTGCTAACGTTAGCTCTGGTGTCTGTACCAGGACTGTTGAAGCTAACGTTAGCTCTGGTGTCTGTACCAGGACTGTTGAAGCTAACGTTAGCTCTGGTGTCTGTACCAGGACTGTTGAAGCTAACGTTAGCTCTGGTGTCTGTACCAGGACTGTTGAAGCTAACGTTAGCTCTGGTGTCTGTACCAGGACTGTTGTTGCTAACGTTAGCTCTGGTGTCTGTACCAGGACTGTTGTAGCTAACGTTAGGTCTGGTGTCTGTGCCAGGACTGTTGTAGCTATCGTTAGCTGAAATCTGGTTGCACTGGGGCATTTTTATTTTTATAGTTTTTGTAAAGATTGAAAAATAAAACCCCACAGAAAGTATGCGACTGATGTCGTTGTACGTACTGTGAACTTCACAGCAGCGGAGAAGTTAGGATTGTTCTACTTCTCTCTGAATTCTTTGTACTGCTAAAAGTACTGTCGCTAACACGACAAGTCGTTTCCTTCACTTGGGCCATAGGGAGTTTCCATGTCCTCCCTGTGCGTCTCTGCTGTGTCCAGACCATGTGTCCAGATTGTGACCTCGTCTTCGTCCTCATCCAATGACTGCTAGGATTGGGTTCGATCACACAATCAACGTCTTTACAAAAATATACCGCGTATCCAGAGAACGTTGGTGTGTCATCGAGGAAAGGTAGAGAAAAAAATATCTGGCTGAATGTATTTTTACTACAACCGCGAGGTTGTGGAAGTTCACCTGGTATTTGACAAGTTCCACTTTCCCTCTCGTACCAGCGAAGGATTCGGTCCTGAACTCCTGGTCTCCCACGAAGCTGGCGGCGTGTTTGTACTAACGTGTCTGATGTAAGATGTCGGAGGGAGTTTCACTTTTTACTGCGCGTTCATTCCTGGAATTGAACCGAGCCCCAGTGGACTCGGAGTGTTTGTCCCGCATGGTCCGGGTCAGGAGTATCAGAGGATTTCACATACTATCACAGTAATTTTCAGAACTCTTTTCCCTGCCGCGTGTGAACTGTTTTTTTTAGTTTTTGTAAGTTGGAACGAAGAACGAATTTCATTGGAAGATTTGCCTGAAATATTTAGACTAGGGTTCGCCAACGTGGTATCCGGGGTCACCTGGTGGCCTACGTGGTATCCGGGGTCACCTGGTGGCCTACGTGGTATCCGGCGGCACCTGGTAGCCTACGTGGTACTTACTAAAAATAAAACGTCATCAACAAGAGGGTCAACAATGGTACCGTTACTGTGCTGTTTGAATCAGTTCCACTTGTAATGATATTCAAATGAGTGGAATAACGATGGTAAGAAGAGCGCCTACTACTGGATGATTCTTACTACGTTGATCAGGAAGTCTGTATCAAACACGTATCCTTGTTTTTTGACCCCTGATTTAGGGTATAATTTCTTTGAGTGATACGACTTGATACAACATATACCGTACGCGGCCTCGGTCGTTAGTATTCGGTGTACTGTAGTATTCTGTGTGCTGTAGTATTCGGTGTACTGTAGTATTCTGTGTACTGTAGTATTCTGTGTACTGTAGTATTCTTTGCACCGTTCACATTGAAGACCAGAAGTTCCGTCATTGTTTCAACTTATCGGATCGTGTGACTCGTGACTGGACGGGAGGGTTGAGTTGAGCTCACAGGAGCCGTAGAACTCATGACCTGGACGAATAGGAATCCTCCGAGACTCTGGCTGTGCCGTCCCGTTCGTCCGGCTTCTATCGCAGACGCACAGGCCGCATTCTTCGACCATGTTGCTGTATCTGTTATCTCCCGCTTATCGGCGTGAAAACGTACAGAGCAGCCCTGAACGCGCTGATGCTGAACACGCCGATGCCCCCCCCCGAGTTGGAAAACACTTAACCTCACTGCACTCCAACAGTACCTTATCTGAAGAACTCCACTCTGTACCAAAACAAAACTCCCGCGGTTTAACGATTTGACATCCAGCTCGTGACCTTCCGACCTCTCCGGTGCTTCCAGACATGAGGCGATTTCGGGTCAAACGATGGACATAAAGAAATATCGTGTTATTGCTTCAGTAGTTTTTGTCTCAGATCGGATGTGAGTGAAAAGGGAAACTGGTCATTCTGGACTGATTTCTTGGAGGACGGGAACGTTTGGTTCTGATTAAATGTTAAAAATGTTGCTGTTGCCAGATCATTTTCAGACCGCCCTTCGGTGACGTAGTCGGAAAGACCTATTTACGATATCCCAAAAAGCTCAGGTTGTTAGCGTTAGCTCTGGTGTCTGTACCAGGACTGTTGTAGCTAACGTTAGCACTGGTCTCTGTACCAAGACTGTTGTTGCTAACGTTAGCTCTGGTGTTTGTACCAAGACTATTGTTGCTAACGTTAGCTCTGGTGTCTGTACCAGGACTGTTGTAGCTAATGTTAGCTCTGGTACCTGTACCATTTTTTTTTTCAGAATTTGTCCTTCAAACCTTCCTCTGGACACGTGCGGGTTGTAGGGCTGCTCAGAAAAACTCCATCTGAGCTGAGAAAAGTGCGTCCACATGTGAGCGAGGACAGGAAAGTGTTTGTCTGAGCCGTCCTCCCGCGGCTGCTCTGTACTCCTGACCTCTGGAAGAACAGGCTGGTGATGGAAGGACATCACAGGGAACCTGTGGGGGCTAACGGGGGGGGAGTCATTTTTTGGTCATGACCCCGACTGGGTTTGAAACCTCCGTCGTTCCCATGTAGACGGTCCCTCTGCTGCTCACAGCTTGTGCACAGACTGCCGTAGTCCGACCTGTATGAGTTGGAGTTATTCAGTGGAGATGAAGGGCCGGACGTCATCAGACTCTGTCTCTGAACAGCATGTGACCTGTATCACAACATCAGAGCTTTTTTTTTATTATTATTATTATTATTTATTTGAAAAAGAGTTCACCAGGGAACTCTCTGTGGCCTCACTGTCGGTTCATTAAAAGCTAATCGTTGTTGTTGGGTTTAACTCTTAGCTCTGGTGTCTGTACCAGGACTGTTGTTGCTAATGTTAGTTCTGGTGTCTGTACCAGGACTGTTGTAGCTAATGTTAGTTCTGGTGTCTGTGCCAGGACTATTGTAACTAATGTTAGCTCTGGTGTCTGTACTAGGACTGTTGTAGCTAATGTTAGCTCAGGTGTCTGTACCAGGACTGTTGTAGCTAACATTAGCTGTAGTGTTTGTACCAGGACTGTTGTAGCTAATGTTAGCTCTGATGTCTGTACCAGGACTGTTGTTGCTAATGTTAGTTCTGGTGTCTGTACCAGGACTGCTGTAGCTAACATTAGCTGTAGTGTTTGTACCAGGACTGTTGTAGCTAACGTTAGCTGTGGTGTCTTTCCTAGGACTGTTGCTGTTAGCGTTAGCTCTGGTGTCTGTACCAGGACTGTCGTAGCTAACGTTAGCTCTGGTGTCTGTGCCAGGACTGTTGTAGCTAACGTTAGCTCTGGTGTCTGTAATAATCATACACTCATATTTAATCTAAAACATTCAAACATTCAACACTCGTTCCAGTTTTACTCCGTCCACCGAGGCCTCGCCTCAAACTGAGTCCCAGTTGAACCTTGTCTGCAGAAATGACCGAATTATCAGAGACTGCTGTGGGAATCACGACTGTAAAACGTCAACCT